GTTAATCAACAGCCCCACACCTTCAAGCCTGATCCTCACAGTCCAGGACCTGGCGTGGTTCTGGCCGGCCGCTCCCTGCGGCCTCTGGCTGTGCGTAGGGCCTCACAGCAAACAAAGGGGAAAAAGGGGGGGGGAACTCAGGGGACTCTGAGTCCCGGTCCAGAGGCCCTCGGGTGACAGTCTCGCTGTCCTCCTTCTCCTTCCTCCTCTATCCCTCTGGACCGCTTCCCCAACAACCCTTCTCTACACTAGGCCTCCTCCTCCCAGACCTGCCGCCTGCCAGGCTATGGAGTAGGGCCTTCTCCTACTCTCTCAGGCTGGCCTGCACTGCGCTGTCCGCAGTGCTGGACTCCCAGCTCTGGAGACAGACCTTCCCCTCTGAATGCCTGGGACAGACTGACTGCGCTCACTCTGCGCAGCCTTTTATGTGGCTGAGCCGGGCCCTGATTGGCTGGCCCCAATCTGCCTTCTGATTGGCTCCCGGTAAGCCCTTCCCTGATTGGCCGCGCGCCTACGCAGGCGCCTAGGCCTGCCGCAGCCCACTCTCTCTGGGTGTGGGGCAGTCGCCCCACCACACACCCTCCCCCTTAAGAACCCTCCCGGGGGGTGGGGGGGGGTATCCTAACCGGCCTAATGGTCTAGAGCTCGGAAAGTAGCCCTTGTCCCACAGTGGTTCGGCTTACCGGCTCAAAGTCTAGGAACTTAGCCCTTGTCACTGGGCCCTATGGCCTACTGGCCCCAAAGTCCCGGAAATTAGTCCTTGTCACCGGGCAACCCAGCCTATCCTCCGCCTCAGCGGGGGGGTCCCGCCGAAACACGCTGAGGCTTACCGGGTCCGACGTACCAGTCCGTCGATTCCCTTAGACTGATTCCTCTCTGCACAGCTGCTGGAGTGTCCCACGGGTCTCCTGATTCTCCACGGGTCTCGTGGTCCACCGCCTCTGTTGGTCCCTCCCACAGTGAGGCTCCCTCTCAACCTGGAGAAGTTGCAGTCCTCGGCGGCTCCAGGAGTGCGGGCTGGTCCTCCACCGGGGCTTCCCACAAGGGTTCTTCTCCCCCGGCCGCCTGCCTAGGCTGGGGTATGCTCCCTCCTCTCGCACTCTCTGTGCATTTGGGACACACCCCGTACGAGCGTGATGGATCCTCTGCCATCAGGGCTAACTGTCTAGGGCCTCGGCAGTTGGATTGGGGCTTGGCTGCCCCCTCGCAAACCACCCCCTGCGCTAAGGATCCCCCTCCTTGATCCGTTTCTTCGCCCTCCTCCCCTAGCCTGGAGAAGAAATCGGCGTTAGTATGGGCCTTACCCGGGCGGTGGAGCACCTGGAAGTCGTAAGGCTGGAGGGCGAGATACCACCGCATAATTCTAGCGTTCGTGTCTTTCATGCTGTGGATCCATCGCAAAGGGGCGTGATCTATGATTAATTTAAAACTATTCCCTAGCAGGTAGTAACGTAGGGCGTCGATAGCCACCGTACCGCCAGGGTCTCTTTCTCTATCGTTGAGAAATGTCTTTCTCGGGGGAACAGCTTCCGACTTAGATACAGTACTGGATGTTCCTCCCCGTCTACTTCCTGGGAGAGTACTGCGCCTAGGCCAACTTCAGAAGCGTCTGTTTGTAGTATAAACTCCTTCGTGAAGTGGGGGTGTCGTAGTACCGGTTCTTGAGTGAGCCGTTCCTTGAGGGTGTTAAAGGCTCGCTCGCATTGTGTAGTCCACTGTTCCTGTCGAGGTTGGGAGTTCTTCATCAGGTCTGACAAGGGGGCGGCTATAGATGCGAAATCTGGCACAAAACGGCGATAGTACCCAGCTAGTCCTAAAAACTGACATACTTGTTTCTTCGTCGTGGGGATGGGTACGTCTCTGAGGGCTTGTACCTTGCTAATCCGGGATGTTAGTTTCCCCCTTCCTACCGTGTATCCAAGGTAGGTCACTTCTTCTTGGCCTAAGTGGCATTTCGCTGGGTTAGCAGTTAGGCGGCCGCTCTGAGGGCTTGCAACACCTCTGCCAGGTGGTGTAGATGGCTCTCCCAGTCGAGACTATAAACCACAATATCGTCTATGTACGCCGCCGCGTATTGGTCGTGGGGTTGGAGGACCTTGTTCATCAAGCGTTGGAACGTGGCCGCCGCTCCGTGTAACCCGAACGGCATGGTTACGAACTGGAAGAGGCCGAAAGGCATGGGGAAGGCCGTCTTCGCACGGGAGTTTGGTGTAAGTGGGATCTGCCAATATCCTTTAGTTAAATCTAAGGTTGACAGATACCTGGCTCCCCCAAGGCGCTCTAACAGTTCATCCACTCTTGGCATTGGATAGGCATCAAAATGGGAGATAGCGTTGACCTTCCTGAAGTCGATGCAAAACCGGGTCATCCCATCTGGTTTCGGAACTAGGACCATCGGGCTTCTCCACTCGCTCGTTGATTCCTCTACCACTCCCATCTCCAACATCGTCTCTACCTCCCGTTGAACTGTATCCCACATTTTCTTGGGCAACGGTCGGTGGTTATCCGTTACCCTCTTCCCGGGGTTGGTGGCGATATGATGGCTCATTAGCGTCGTCCGGCCCGGGCGGGCCGATAAAACGTCTGGAAATTCTTCTACCACTTGTTGTAGTTGCCCCCTCTGTCTGGGGTTGAGGCCTGACCCCAACGTGGCCGGTCCGGGGTCGGGGAGGTCCCCTGCTAGAGGTCCTAGTTCCGAATCTGGGGTGGACGGGCCAATGAACAGGGCTTCCCGGTTTTTCCAGGCCTTTAGTAGATTAATATGATAAATACGTGTCTCTTTGCGTCGGCCAGGTAGTCTGACCTCGTAATCGACTGGCCCCACTCGTCGGATCACTTCATAGGGACCCTGCCATTTGGCTAGGAGTTTTGACTCCGCAGAGGGCAGTAAGAGCAGCACCCGATCGCCTGGGCTGAATTTCCTCCCTCTAGCCCCTCGATTATAGAGGCACTCCTGGTATGCCTGGGCCCGTTCCAGGTTTTCACGGGCGAAGGCCCCTAACGTTTGGAGTTGCTCCCGGAGTTGTAGCACATATTGTGTGGTTCCAAGGACCCACGTTTCCTGTGCTTCCCACTCCTCCTTCAGGAGGTCCATTATTCCCCTGGGCTGCCTGCCATATAAGAGCTCGAAAGGCGAGAACCCCATCGAGGCCTGTGGTACCTCTCTTATTGCAAATAGCAGGGCTGGCAACAAGGCGTCCCAATGCGAGGGGTCCTCCTCCACAAACTTCCGCAACATGGCTTTTAGCGTACCATTGAACCGCTCTACCAGGCCATCGGTCTGCGGGTGGTACACCGATGTCTGGAGGGTCCGTATATGGAGGAGGCGACATAGCTCGGCTATTAACTTGGAGGACACATTGGTGCCCTGATCCGTCAATATTTCCCCGGGTATCCCAACCCGGGTGAAAATCTTTACCAATTCGCTCGCGATGGTCGGTGCCGTAGCTGTCTTTAGGGGAACGGCTTCGGGATAGCGCGTTGCGTAGTCCACGACTACTAGTATAAAGCGGTTCCCTGTCTTGC